CCTGTGAGGGTTTGTATTGTAATACAGTTTCACCTCACACGCAGTAAACTGAAAAACTTTGAAGTATGTTTCTCCTGCATAAGTGATTATAGGCTGCAATCATGCCACTGTTTAGATCCGGTAAACTGAATTGAGTAAGCTCCTGTAATCTCTCATTTTAGGGCAGAATGCAGGGTAGATATGCACCTTATAGACTAGCTGAACCAGAGATGACTGAGAATTTTCATTTTAACAGTGTTTAAATAAAGACAATGAATTCTTGCAACTGTGCCTTGAACCTTCTCCAGTTTTCCCCAACATCCTTTTCCAAGTACTGACAACAGAATGAGATGCAGGGGCACAACAGTGGCCAATTTCACCAGTGGTGTATACAGATATAATGTCCCTTTCCTGCTCCTGAATGATATTGCTGTTTATACATCCACAGAGCATGTAACCCTTTCTGGCACAGCATCATGCTGGGAGCTTTTCTGCATTTAGTGATTCCTAAATTCTTTTTTGAGTTACTGCTTTTCAGGATACACAATCCTCCATCCTGAGAGCCTGGGCTACATCCTTTGGTCTGTTTCCAGTGGGACCCAGCAGGCAGCAGAGCCCCTGTGGGTAGCGGGCCTCAGTGGGTGGCAGGGCCATGGCCGGGCCGAGGCAAGACCTAGCAGGCAGCAAAGCCCCAACGGGCGGCAGCAGCGCAGTGGGCCCCGGTGGGCAGCATAGCTGTGGGGGGCCCCAGCAGATGGTGGAGCCACGGTAAGTGGCAGGGTTGCGGCAGGCAGTGGGCCCTGGTGGGCAGCGGGGTCTGCAGGGAACACTGCAGGAATGGGAGGCTGCAGGGAGCAGCGGGCAAGCCTGCAGGAGGGAATGCAGGGAAGGCTGGTGGCAGGGAAAGACGAAGTCTGTGCAAGTGCCCTGGGACTGGCAGAGACCCAGGGTGGGGTTGTAGAAACACAGAGCCTGGGCATGGGGTCGGCCTAGCTGCATCATAGATTCATAGATGTTAGGGTCAGAAGGGACCTCAATAGATCATCGAGTCTGACCCCCTGCATAGGCAGGAAAGAGT